TATATATATATATATATATATATATATATTTTTTTTATTATACTGACCTTTCAGCCATGCATGGCTAACAATACAGAAGTTACAATGATGCAGCACATGTGCACTCATGTTACCATATCCAATAACATAAAACTCGCATTTGGGCTGTACAAAGTAATTTGTCTTAGCTGTGTTTTAGTAGACTAGTATTTTGAAAAATACAGTCACATTTGAATTATTATACATTATCTATGTATATAGATTATTACTATTTTGAAATAAATTCTTAAACATATTTTCCTAAAACACAGAACAGTAAATAAAGAAGTAAAGCAAACATTTATCTATTCTAGTTATGACCTATGTACTCAGTTGCTGCTTGATATAGGTTGCTAAGCCTTTAAAAATTTTGCACCAGATGGGTATGAAACAAAATAATTTTTTTTAGGTTTTATATAGACATTTAAATAACTAAAAAATCATAAATTACTACATTAATACCATAGAATTCCACTATAATTTATCAAACTTAGTAACTAAGATGTATTTTAGTCTAAAAAATATGAAACTTTGAGCAGACCAAAGATACACCCAACCTCCTTGAAATACTAATTTAAAAGAAAGAAATATCGTCCAAGCCATTAAAATGGCTGAGAAAGCTACTAGGTGGGCATTCTGAGCTTCCGATTGGTTATTCATGTCATATATAGAAGTGTATATAAGGGAGCATTTCCAAGAGGGGGTGGGATGCCACTGTGTTTGATTTATTACATGAGCAATATCTTAGCAAATAGAAAAGATAAGATGTACTTATTTTATATTCTAGTTTGTCAATATCTGTAATTTGAGTTTCTAATTCATACAAAACTACAGACTTAGTATTCTGACTTCACAAACATCTAATTTGAATCAGTGCTGCATTCAACATACCACGTAACGTACAAAAATCAATGTTTATCTGTCTTTTTAATATTTACTTTTAAATTAAGAAATTGAGTAATGTATAGTATTAAAATTTGAATTATAATCTACAGTTTGATACCAAACTTATTGAAATAAACTCAAGAAATAGTAGTTAAAAACATTTTTGAATGCTGGTCAACAAACAAGATGACATGGCCTTTCACCCGTGATCCGCCTCGAAAGGGTTAAATGAAAACCTAAAATGGGTGCAACGATTTATATCCTGATATACACACCTGGTAAATCCAGAGAAATCTCAACCATTGAGTACTGTTTTACGTTACAACAAAAACTAATAATGATACACAATACATTCAAAAATACTATGCATTAGTATATATTTTTTGAATAATGATATAAATATTATGCTTTACAAATATGCATATTATGAAATTAAAAAGTGATCAAATAAAAATGTTATTCCAGTACTTATGAAGTGGTATAGAAAACGTTTATCATATTTCTAAATGGGAATTCCTTAAGTTCACAATACAAATTACCAACACAAGCAAATCAAAGTCTACTGTCTACTACTACTACAGGTTAATACATAAAGATCAATGTTTTACTTTGGATTTACAGCAAAGTAAAAATAAGTTTAATTAGAAACTTTCAACAAATAAAATTTTTCTTCAAGAATACTTACCATCAAAACTTCCTTTGTCCTCAGCAAACTGTACCAATGCTTTATATGTTTCATCTGATGGTCTAAAAACAAAAACGCCCGAGTTAAAACAGTCTGGCCAACCAACATCAGGGACGGCCGAGAGTTCTTCTCTGTTGAAAAGCTCATCACAGTTCTGCAGTACCTACAAGCATAAGCCTATTAATACCAGCTACTTCTGTTCTCACACTTTTATATGTATTAAGAAACTACAATAAAAATCACAGCTGTGAAAGCATACATTTTGTAAAAAGACTTAGTCGATGTTTACAAATTTTAATACTTATTTACATAGAAAGTATATTTTGAATAATAAAACAGTAATACACACAAATATAATGATGCAGTAGTAGGTCCTGTTGGCAGGAAACCATGCCTTTTGATGTAGATATTGTCTAAGTGGAGGATTATGTCCATAGCAAGGAAAAAATCCCAAAAACATATGAAAAGTAAACAAGATTTCTTAACAATTTTGTGAGAGATGAGACAATAAAACAGTTAAAAACTGTTTGAGTGGAGGCAAACACCTGGTATTATTAACTGTTTGTTTTTTACAAGAAGTGAAGAATGTTCTGGAAAATAAAATATACAGACACAATCAAAGTAGTCTCGCAGAAAACTCCAACTAAACAGCAGACACTGAGCATGGGCAGACAGGCTTAACACATTCCATACGTGCCTGCTCAATGACGATTTTGTGTAATTATTCTTTGGGAGGTAACACTAGCTACTTGGTGGGTTCTATCATTTCCATAATATATATATATTGAATAAGGTGATATAAGACCGAACAAAGAAAAGAGAAACATAAACAACTCACCATCAGTGCCACTGTTAAGAGTTAAAAATGATGACTGGAGGGAAACAAAATTCAAGATAAGTGAAACCATAAGAACAGAAATTCAGGAGCAAGTGCCTCCTGTCAGGAGGGGGGGGGATGAAGCAACAGAGAAAGTGTCTGTATGAAACATGATAAAAAGACTAGACAGACAAGACAGAAGATGATAACAATCTTGTGAAATAGCTTCTAACTTATGAACATAAAGACAGAGAAACCTCACTTCAGGTGACCAGATGCAAGAAATGGATAAGGCATCCAGAACTGCACCAAACCAGAACAAAGGCAGTGAAAAGGTGTGGTCACAGGATTGTTTGTTATCAAGTGCCACCTCTGCTATGCTCACCATGATTAGGGAAACCTACATATGTAAATGGAAGAAGCCAATAGTCACTTCTGGGCCTTGAAGGACTACAAACAGATACAAGTCTGGGTAAGTTAGGGTAAAAAAGACCTACAAAGGGGTGAAAAGAAGACAGCATATCTATGAAGATACTGGCCAAAAAACACTGAAATGGAGAAATGAGGGATTAAAGAGAGTAGACAATCCCCAAAGGAGACTCATGAGGAACATAAAGGACATATTAGAACCCAGGTATCAAAAGCTTTATGTCACAATGACCAAAAAAGTAGACTAAGCCTGCCCTGCATATGAAGTGAGAGAGACCCCATGTGAATAAAATAAAGTGGGGGTTGGGACTGAAATGGAAAGCTGAACCAACAATATCAAATGAGAAAACTGAAGGAGAAGGGAGGTCACAACAAAGAAAGCCACACTGGAAAAGGCAAGAAAAGGCCAAACATTTGTAATATAGTGGAACAACAGACATCAAGAATGTAACCTCCAAGTAAAAAACCCACCACACTTAATAAAAAAAGATGGGGCCATAGCCAGCTCAAAAGGAAGGACTGAAGACCAAATGCTTGACCATTGCAAATGAACATAATGAAGCAAAAGACAGGCAGACAAATTGGGATGTGAAGGATATGTCTGAGATATCAAATCAGATCAGCCACCACTGGGGAGTGAGATGAATTGTCTATCATGAACTGAGGAAAGGCCAAAGTTAGGTCACGTGAGACAAACTGATATCCAGCCAACAATCTCTCATCTTCATGGGAATAATAAAAAGATGGAAGTAAAATATCAGAGTGGACTTAAGGAACTGTCTCATGGTGTTTGAAACAGGTGAGATGGAGAACAGAAGTACAGCAAAAACCTCATTTTCCTGAGGAACTCAACAGGCTGTAACAAACGGAATTCACCAGTGGACAAAGTGGGAGAGCAGAGCCCCCAAATGACTAAAGCCAAAGGGTGGCTACAAAAGTATATTGACTCTGATACCCATAAAGACTAGCCCTCACAGAAATAAGACCATGGGCATTAACAAGAGGACAAGAAACAGCAGGAGGGGGTGACCACACAAGGTTGTATACAATGAGAAACCTAGTAGGGCTCTCTGGTTCCCAATGGCAAGAAACCAAAGTCAGCAGATGTGGTTGCTGAATACGACAAAGAAATTTTGCAAGAGAGAAGTTCGGGAGAGAAAACTTACAGAGGCAAAAGTCAGAAAGAATGGTAATCTGACAAAGTACACCCTCAAAAACAATTAACCAAGGAGACTAGGCTGAGATGATAGGGAGAGAGACCTCTCATAAAAGTGAAAAAATAGTTTATCCTGTTTTTTTTTTTAAATCAAGTTCATGATGGCTGAACAACAATATACAGCTGTATATTAAAGCAATGAATGTTGGAGAAGCCCCAGGATTTACCATAAAAATTCTGTGAAAACATGTTATCCTGCTGAATACATGTAGTACTTAAGTGACTTTCATGTGATGAACACAATATAAAACTGCCAAAAACTTGGGGATGCACTATATGCACAGTCAAGGCAAACAGATCTGCTCAGAGAATATGACAAAAGGAGGGTAATATATGTTGTAAATTCCACAGCACATACATACACACAGATATCCTATCATAGGCAAAACGGTCAATAAAACAAAATATTTTTATGAAACCAATGTGAAAAAAGTTCAACAAATACATTTCACATAATCACTAACTTTTATATAAAAACACTACATTTCCTTTTATACTCTAACTGGAAAGCTTTAAGTTTGAAATAGGTTTTAATCTGTTAAATTTTACTTACTAAAGTATCAGCATCCAGGAAGACACATTTCTTGAACTGAGAGAGTCTCCAACAATGGAGTTTGGTGAAAGTCACCCCAAGTTCTGGTCTAGTCAAGACAGTTAAATTAACTTCATCCTTACTGTCAATTTCACCAACTTCTTCAACAAGATCATAAACAGAAGATAACAAAGACCTGAAAAACAAAAGAATTGTTCTTATTATGTAAAAAGATAGTATATGGAAGAAAAAATTTAAATGGACAAGTTTCAAACTTAACTGGATCAAAAGTTTTATACATTCTTAATTCATAAAATGTTTATACAGATTCTTCAATTCAAGCAACAAAGATACATATGAAGTATATTGTACATTTTCTTTAAACAAATGATCTACATGAAATTCTGATGCTTATGAAACAAAAAATATATATCTCATGTACAATAGTTTACAAATCTGACATGAAGATAATAATTCACAAAATAGTCAATGTCATTCCATTTTCATTTCATTTTTCCCCACCAACAAAAATCTTACAAAACTACTTTTCATCAATATAATAGATTTACAAAAAATATATATATCTCATGTACAATAGTTTACAAATCTGACATGAAGATAATAATTCACAAAATAGTCAATGTCATTCCATTTTCATTTCATTTTTCCCCACCAACAAAAATCTTACAAAACTACTTTTCATCAATATAATAGATTTACCACTGGTCTAGCTCAATCATCATACAGACAAAGTTATAAATTTCTATACTGAAAATGTATTTCCGATACGTACTTCCCTCCGCTCACAAAATTAGCTATACTCGTTCATTGCTGCCCCCTATGTGCAAACTTTTCTTTACACATGCCACAATCCTTCTGCTCCCCCCTATTAGAATCAAGTGTATCCAATGTGTCTCTAATGCAAATCATCAGGTATCATGTGACTCCTTCTATGCATATCTACCAAATTATCACTTTGAAGTTTAGCAGAAAACATAAGAACCAGAAGTGTGTTCCACTTACAAGATTGGCTAGAATCTCACATTGATTAAGAGGCGAGACTGGTGTGAACGAAGAACAGATGTACCCCTTGAAAGCATACAAAGGATACCTCTGTAGATGAGAGAGTCAGATCAGAAGAGGGGAACCGCACTACTTCTGAGCCAGGTATACTCTTCGGCCATGTGTGGAATGTGTGAGATGTCTGGGCAGAAAATGAGAGGGAGAGAATGTGGAAGGAAAGTGATGCTAACCAGAGAAAGATATAGTAACTTAATCCCACAATGAGAAAAGTTGGTAAACAAGGATGTGCCCCTGGGTGTGGCAGACTGTACTCGGAAAGTCAACTACATCCAAAACCTCATCGCATGGCAACGATATCTGCACAAGGGTAGGATGAGGATCAAACTGTTTTCACCTCAAACCTTAGAACTGGGGAAGTGAGAACCACTCCAATTCCCAGGTATAACACAAGGATTAGCTCTAAGCTATCAATCCAAGAACTTGACATCCAGTATCAAAAGGATGTCTATTGCATGCAATCAACTCCCCCAACCATGAAACAGGCCAGAACACTCCAAATGGTAATAGCATCCCTATAAGAAAAGAGAAAGAGGGATAGCCAAGGATAGAACTGGAACAATCCCATGTACCACCACTGTGAGCCACAACACAGATGGAGGAAATCAAGGGAAGAAGATAGAAAACCAAAAACCTGTGTATGGACTTACATTCATTGATTCACTCTAAATCCAAAACCTGCCCTCGGGGTACTGACATCCACGTGAGGATAGTATGAGGGATCCCAATTGAAGGGGTGAACTGCAATCTAATGTCTCACCCCACTCATAGCAAATTGGAGGATATTAAATCCTCTACACCTGCAGAACACCACTGCCCTACTCTGCACTGAATGGTTGTAGCCATCTTTGTGTGGAAGCAATTCAGAAGGGTGCCTCCATGGTCAAACACCCCAGCAGCTTGTAAGTGGGTCTCCCATACTCCATTAGATGAAAAGTGGGGTGAGAATACTTTGGAGAGTCTGGAGGAACATCATCACCTGAGAAAGTGCAATGGGTGATCATGAAACCCTATTTTGAATAGCAGATCATACTAGTTTATTCAATCGAGGTATGGCACGGCTGGTCATCTACCCACTTCTGCTTTACCCATGAAGTACATGGATGGTACGATCTAAATGGGCAAAACTATGAAGCAAAAATTGCAAGGTTATTCACCTAAAAGCTGTGAGCATTGCAAAGCCATGGAAGATAAAGCACAAGTCAACATGGCTGTACAGTAAGGATTTAGAGTTAAAGAATACCTGGCCAGGCACCACTCACCACAGAGTGGGATCCATCTAAGGACTGTATGAAGGATAGGCACCTGAAATAAAATAAAGCATTAATAGAGACTAACCCAGTCTTAGAGTTGCATTGAAGTTTGAAGAACAGCTACAGGTGGAAGGCAAAAACCCAAGGAAGCAGAAACTATGATATGATGTAAGTAATGGGAGATGAACATGTTAAGGGTGGTCCACATGCCCAATTGCAAGATTTCCTCCAAAGGCCAACAAAGACAAGAAGTGAGTGAAAAGGTGAGGTGTCAGGTTTGATGAGAAGTTACTCTAAATAAATTCTGGTGGGAAGGGGACAAGGAGGAATAAGCCAACTGTATTGGTGAGGATAGAAGGGGATAGATCTCTAGATGAAGAGGACTGCCACAGGAAAAGAGTCAGGAATGTGAACCACAGAAGGAAGCCGTGCAAGCAACATAGGAACAAAGGGCACACACTGGACATAGAAGTCTATCCGGATCAGGATGAGTGTAGAAATGAAAAATAGAGAAAGGGAAATAGGTGAAAAGGAGGAGTTACCTTCTCAGGCTACCGAGGAAGGAAAGATCCAGATAAAGAAGAAGATAGGTATGGTGGTAAAGTGTATAAGTAACGCTGATGGTGAAAAAGTCAGACCATCGACAACCACAGGCCAAAAGGAGAAGGAAAATGTGAAACACAGAACATGAAGAAAGAGGTTTAAATGGAGGTAAAGTAAGGGAATAACAGACCACATTAATATCCCAGTCCAGAAGGGTAGGTTGTCAGGGAGGACGACTAATCCAGAAGAAATAGATTAACATGGTAAGAACCGGTGAAGCAAATACAAAAAGTATGGGACAAAGCTGCCCAATAACCTGAAATCAAGGAGATTGAAGACCCCGGTCGAAAAGCCATGTGAGAAACTTGGAGACACAAGCCACATAGGTCGAGCAGCTGGTAAACCCCTAGCATGGGACCATGTGTGAAAGACTTTCCACTTCCGTTGATATACTTCCATAGAAGAAGGATGTATGGATTGAGCCAAATGGAAAGCTACACGATGGGAGAAACCAGATCTCCTCACCAAGGGCTGGAAAAAAGCCAGGTGTGAAGATGAAGGACATGAACAGCAGGATGTAAAACCAGTGACTGGGGTCGGGGAATAAGGGAAGTGTTACAGAAGGGAATAATTGAAATTGGTGCAAATGAGAAAACCATGGTTGAGCCGGCCAATAGGGAGCTATCAGAAGGACCCAGAGCAAAGTGGCATGGATTAGAAAAACCACTCAATGAAACAATCAGATAGGAGGATAAACATATAGGAAGTTGTATGACCAATCTTAGATGAGGAATCAATAGCCCAAGCTTGAGGACAAAGTATCGGAGACCAAAAGAGAAGTAACTTGTGATTCAGGGAGGTGTCAAATGCATAAATGTAAGAAAAACTCCACCGATTGCATACCCACTGCAAAATCAGAGGATGGAGGGACAACTCTGTCATAGAAATCTTGTAGGGGTGGAAGAGCTTCCTGGACATGACACACAATTAAACAAATGTGGTGCATCTGGGCCTGAGATCCAATGTACAAAAACAGAAGGATCTTGACCAGGTGTCTCCTTGGTGATTGATATATGCCATCACCTTTGAATTGTTGGAATGAAAAGCCTGGCGGATGGCTAAAATTTTTAGGAAGTTGATATGGAATGACTGCTCATCTACAGACCAACAACTCAAAGCCTCCTGGTGATTGAACCATGCAACCCAGCCCTGAAGGGATGCATCTGTAAACAGACGTAACTCCGGACGAGGAAATGGGACTTCTGCCGTAGTGGGAGTCTTGTCCAACCATCAAATCAGATTGTCTGCTAGGGGAGGAGGAAGTGTAATAGGAACATCCAAGAGATTCTGAGCAAGGTTCCATTGATTGTGCAGAGTCCACTTTAGGGAATGCATGTGTGCATGACCTAGGGTGACCAGCGTGTCATAGAAGACCATATTCCCAAAATTGACAAAACCTTGCATGCAGAAAGTGAGGGAGCAGACAGGGCATGATGAAAGTCAGAAAGGAGAAGGTTGGGCCCAACTGAGATGAGTGTTGAAAAAGTCACCCAAATGTACAAGGTATTGGGTAGGATGTAGGTAGGACTTCTCTAACTTGAGTAACAAGCCCACCTGAGCAACCCCTAGAAGAAGCTGAAGAGTATGAATGGCCAACACCTGTTCAGAATGGGCCAGAAGAAGCCAGTCATCCATGTAATAATGGAAATGCAGTCCCAAGGCCTGAAGATGATGAGCAAAAGCCCTGACCAACCGACAGAAAACATAAGGTGCAGAAGTGAACCCGAAGGGTAGGGTGCAAAATTGGTACACCACCTTGTGATGGACGAACTGAAGATATGGATGAGACCGTGCAGAGACAGGAATATGCAGGTAAGCATTGGCAATATTCATCTTAGTTATCCATAAACCTAGAGAAAATGCTCAACAGAGGGTGAGATAGGACTCCATGGTAAAACGGGTGAGGTGAACAAAGCAATTGAGGATGGAGAAATCGATGACAAGCTTCCAATCCCTGGTTTTCTTGGGAACAACAAATAGACAGGAATAATACCCCAGTGAATGATGGGTAACAGATTCGATAGCCTGTTGACCAAGGAGGTCCTGCACTGTCTCTGATAGATGCTAACAAACAATGGGATCCTGAGGTTAAGGGTAGGAAACGGGTACAGGGGACAAGGAAGGTGGGCAAGAATGGGATCTTGAATCCTTCTGATAAAACTTGAAGAACCCAAACATCATAGATGAAAGGGTGCCATTGATGAAGAAATGCCACAATACGAGCTCTCACTGGGTAGTGACTGGAACTGTTGGCAACGTATCATGCATGATTGCAAAAAACAAGCTGTGGCACTTTCGAGAAGAAGGGACAGGTAAGAATTGGGAAGGAGAAGGCAGGAAAACAGAATTGGTGCCACACTTAGCTCTGACTGAGACAAACAGGCTACCAGATGGGAAAGGGTAGACTGTTGTTGAATTGATGCCACCCAAGATTCCAAAGACTCCAGGACCGTATAAAAGATGAAATGCTGTAAAAATGGAGCCATACATAAATCTTGGAGATAAGGTGCAGGTAAACGGGCCCTTGATAAGACAGTATCCTGACCCAGAAGGTCCCAACAACAAAAAAACCATGTATGTAAAACTACAGCCAAAGACATCAAATGAGCCAATGTGAAGGTAAAGAGGGAGAGAATATCCCCACAAAACCCCTCAGGATTTCTGTGAAGAACCTCAAACAGGAGATGAATTGTAGAAAGATACCACAAGAGTCATGAGAGTAATAAGGAGGTGGGAAAATTGGGCATGGGTTAAACTAACTGCGAACAAATGAGCCAACGTGGAGGTAAAGATGGAAAGGATATCCCCAGAAAACCCTTCAGGATTTCTGTGGAGAGCCTCAGACAGGAGACGAATCATGGAAAGATACCACAAAAGAGTCATGAGAGTAAGAAGTAGGTGGAAAAATTGGGCATGAGTTAAACTAACAGGGAATTTGGGGCCTGCTCCCCAAATGGGTAAAACAGAACCCAACAGTTGCTGGTCGAAATAAGGACAGTCTGCATGGTGATAAGCGAGGGCAGACTAATCTGAAGCTCGTGGGAGACGAGGCATGCTAACGGCGCCATGTACTGAGAGGTGAATTGTTCGGCATGGACCCAAATGTCAGGGGATGGGGAAAAAAACAATAGGGTTGAGAAGAACGTTCATGCAGTGAGGAAGGACGTGGGTCATAAAAAACAGAAGCGAGGGATAAAACATCACATACCTGAGAAATAAAGTCCAAATAAACCATGGAAGGTTGAACTGAATCCTCAGGAAAGGTATGGGAAGACACAGCAAATTCAAGAGGTGAAAAATAGGTGGTCAAAGTCCTCATCAGCCTGCACAGGTTCAACAGGTTTAGGAGGAAGTGGGGCAATGTCTGGAGATAGAGGTTGACCCATATAACATTCAGTCTCCCTGCAAATAAATGTAGACAAATCTCCCATCAGGTTGCCCACACCTGGAGCCTGTGATAAAGATCAGGTTGAAATTGACACACACGAAGAGGTGACATTGACTTCAGAATTCATGCTTCAACAGTCGACAACAGCGAATGTATTAAATAAAGGCAACTAGAATTAGATAGAATTAATGAAACAATTAAAAAACTGGGTATGTCAAAAATTATAACCACTTCAAGAAATAACTGAAAGCAAGGGAGTCACATGCATCATGTGAGTGTACTATGCTCCCACTAGTGGAGAGGTGATGCATGATAATTTGCATGAGAGAAAAGTTGGAATCACTTGATTCCAATGGGGGGGGGGCAGCAGGCTTGTGGCATGCGTAAAGAAAAAGTTTGCATATAAGGGGCAGCAATGAACGAGAATAACTAATCTTGTGAGAAGAAGGAAGTACTGTTTCGGAACACATCTCCCAGAATTTTTGCTAAAAAAGTTATTGAGATTTTCCATGATTCCAATCACACAGGTATATATTTTAGATTCACACATTATCTCACACTTTTACTGCCATTTTCGTGCATAGTATTACAATCACTGTATTTTAAGGTAAATAAGGAGAAATAATATAATAATCAACTGTTGCTGAATCAAATCCTGTATATGTTAGGTAGGTTTCAAAATTCACGATATAATTAATTGTGTATGCAATTCTTGACTTCCTTGAATCATTATATGGCTTTTCCTTGTTTAATTAACTTTATTTCAGTACTTCTGATCTTTATAAACTTCATCTATCCCTCCGTAGTAGATACATAAACAGACTATTTTCCAACTTCTACATAAGCAACAAGATTATTCTTACTATGTTTAATGAAACTGTGGTGTAGCATACCGTAACTAGCACTAAATGAGGTTAAGAGAAGTCAGGAATTTCTTCTATAAAATAAAACTATGTCAAAAGTAGTGCCATTTTCAGAAGCACACTGATGAATTAAGCCATCTCAAAATAAGCACAAGTCTTGGGGGAAAAATAAAACCAGAACCAAGTCACCATCAATACCATTATATTAACAGTCTCTTCAAAAATTTAATAAAGGCTCTTTTTAAACAACAGTCATGACACAATATATTTCTTAAATTGCAAGCAAAACCCAAGATAATTTATGTGTACACCTTAATAAGTTTTCTAATGAATTTATTTGCCTGGAGACTTATGTTGGACAAAGTTAAAAACTCTTTGATAACATTTTTTGTCAGGGTATAAGTATTTATTTCAGTAATACAGAATATTATTACTGTTATTTGACCAATGACATCACCAATGTTTTGCATGTGGAGGACAGATGAGTTGCTAAGGAAGGAATTTTATGATTTTTTTTACCAGTATTCCACGATGCTATGAATTAGTTATATTTAGGCAGAGTATACCCAAATCTCTGAACTACTAAGAATGATGCCTCAATAAGTCTTCTCATTAACTGACTGATATAATATTCAAGAAAGCTATAGAAAAATTAAAATTATGTAAGGCTTTTGTCCACATCCAAAATTTGTTTAAAAATTACATTATCAAAAGTTATAAATATAATCAATATATATATATATATATAGAGAGAGAGAGAGAGAAATATAGATAAATAGCTCAACGATTATCAGTTACAATTATTGTTAATAGGCAATTCAGATGAGCACTATTAAACAATAAAGAACTTATAGTCATTTAATGCTTCTACTTTAGCTCCTGGTCAGTCATCCATAGTCATAAACAGATAAAGCTTGTGGTAATAGCACCCAAAAAAACGTTTATTTCCTTTGGCATTTTGGATTTTGCTTGATAGATGGGATATCCCCAATGCTTTTTATATATAACTGGGATGTATATAATTTAAAGACAAGGGATCTATTGGTCCATCTAGGTGGTCCCATCCACTATACCTAGATCCATTACCTTCTCACTTCGTACAGCCTGTAAAAAATATAATGTTATTACCAACTTACCTCATATCTGCTGACACACCGACTGTAACAAGAATTACCAAGCTTCTTGAAGTTTGCACTTTGCGAAGAGAGTGGCCAAGGACAAGTGCTCCAAGACTGTAGCTATCATCAGTAGCTAGAGTAACAAAAGCCTCATCTTCCACTGTAAAAATGCATGTACAGTATAGTATAAATAATAATTTTAATTTCAATAGTATTCAAACAGTTAGTAATTACTGTAGTTGTGCTGAAGCAGTGATAAAATATACTAATAACTTTGTCACTCTCATCTTTTGATCAGTTTAACTAAATGTCAAATGTGCAATGTTTAATTTCAAACCTCTCTCAGAGGACAATTTTCTATTATCACATAATTACATAGCTATGTGACACAAAATTTCATTTCTATTTGTGAAATGAATGTTCTTGCTGGCTTTCCTTCAAATTCCCACACAATTATTTTATAAATACTGTACTATCATAATTTTTAAACATAATTTTACTTCTTAATAACTTAAAAAGTGTTATGGGGTTTAGTGAAAAGTGAAACTTAAAATATATAATTTTATAGGAAAGACTACAAGTGATTAGAAGAACAAACTATCTGTTACTCTTTATATATGCAATAGTGGTGCAATTCTGTTTAGCTCAATAAAAACTACATTAATGAAGGAAAAATATGTTTTTCATATCTGTTACTCCTTATATATGCAATAGTGGTGCAATTCTGTTTAGCTCAATAAAAACCACAGTAATGAAGGAAAAGTATGTTTTTCATATCTGTTACTCCTTATATATGCAATAGTGGTGCAATTCTGTTTAGCTCAATAAAAACCACAGTAATGAAGGAAAAGTATGTTTTTCATGACCGATACAATTAATGTACAACTTAAACAAACCTTGTATTCTTGCTATAGAACCTGCTGTTATCTTTCCACATTATATTAGATGTGACAGTAGAGCTATGACTAACTATCAGTAAGTTTCCTTTTTGAACAATTGTTGTTAGTTCAACTAGTCATGTCAAGTTTAATTTGTTCTTTTGTTCATGGCAGCTTTATACAAACACTACTTCATGCATATACATTATAACACATATCTCAGAAGTAAACCTCTTACGAGTCTCATTATTTGATACTATATAAACATAATTGTAAGTCAAATCAACTAATTGCAAAATCAATCTATTCTATAGCAGACACTTCAAACTCAAGTTATTAATTTCAACAATTATAGATCTGAAAGTGTTAACCAGACAAATCTGTGTTGAAAATAATAAAACATACATGTACAATTACATTTTTAAAGTTAGATTTAACTATTAATGATAAGGAATAAATTTCCAAACAAATACAAATGACAACAGTACTTCATAACGTTATGCATAAATCATAATAAAAGGATATGAATGAGGATTTCCTTATAAAAATGTCTCAAATTGATTAAAAGTGCAATGATTCTGATACTTTAAATATATAAATCATTAGGAATAGTCATATAATACTTGCTTACCTTATAAAATGTGTAATGCATTTATTCAACAAATCACTGATTTTTTTCATTAACACACTAATTAGAATTTCAATGAGAAATAGTGCTGGACAATTAACTAAATTTCATATAAGCATTGATTAACTCTTTAAGGATGGGTGTGGTAAATAAACACCATGTATCTAGCTTGAGAGCTGGGTGAGGTATATAAACACATATTCCTATTTATTAAAGATGGGTGAAGTTTTAAAACCACTATGGCTCTGCTCTCTTTCTTTCACTTGCTTTTACTGGTTAATACATTTTAAAGTCATAATTTGATTGGATAAGCATCTTTACATCATTAGGTACCATCCAATGAACCACCCAGCTATCTCTACATCATCACATGCTAGCAAATGAAATATCTATTTATAGAAAACGAAATTTACTGTAAAACAATGAGTTGTATTTGAATTAGATATATTTTCTTTCAGTTATTTGTTCAACATGGATGAACCATCTATGTCATCTTTTTTCATGCACACCAAAAAATGCGCCTTAGCCCTCAATCAATGCATAAAATTATAGATGAATAGAGTGAAGAAGAAGAATTGTCTGATTTGAGTGACATTCTTTCAGATAGCGATAACATTTCAAGTGATGATAGTGAGCCTGAGGGCATGTTCAGATAATAGTGATACTGGTTATATTACATGGAAGAATGGGGATGATTTTGTGCCCCATGACTATTCATTCTGTAACAAAAATTCAGGAATTTGTGATTAATTTTCTATTCAGGAGAATGCACCCGTTATTGAATATTTTCTAGCCTATTTCGATTATGAACTTATGAAGAAGACTGTAGACAATACTAATATGTATCATGAATTTTGGGTACACAATTATGATGCACATCATAAGGCAAAAAACCAGCATTGGTGTGAGACAACAATTGGTGAAATGTACTCTTTTTTTTTTTGCACTTATTTTACTAATGCCTCATGAAAAAAAGAACAATAAAAGAGTATTGGTCAAAAGACCCCATAGATAGGTTCTCTGAACTACTTAGGGACATTCATTTTGCTAATAATGAGCTTCCTGATAAAAGTGATAGATTGTGGAAGATAAGGGAAGTGATTACTACTTTGAAGGAAAAGTTTTCTGCTTTTTTCTGCCCATTTCAAAAAATTGTAATTGATATATCCCTAATGTTATTCAAGGAGAGATTTATATTCAAGGAATACATACCATCAAAGCATCATAGATTCGGAATAAAAATCCAAGTTCTCTGCGATTGTGAAACAGGAATTATTTTGGATTTTGTTGTTTATACATGCACTGATACTGACGTTGCTAAAAAAGATCCTAATGGGGCTTCAGGTGCCAACGTGAAGAAATTGATACAGAAATATGAAGGGAAAGGCCATCTGTTGTACATTGATATTTGGTACTCTAGTCTTGGTCTATCTTTATATTTGGATTCACGTAATATTGGAACTGTATGAGAAAACAGAAAGAATGTTCCTAAGTTTGCTAAGCTGAAATCTGGCAAATATGAAAGGAAGAAAAGTGGTAATTTGTTGGCAATACGTTAGCATGATAAACGTAATGTGACAATGCTTACCGCTTTTCACAAAGGACAAGTGGTTAACATTGAAAGGGTAAATCATAAAACAAATAAAATTGTCAAAAAGCCAGATTGTGTAATTGACTATACTCAGAATATGCTGCTTATTGATAAAGCTGACATGCAATTGGCCACCATAGAATGTGTTGGAAAATCAGTAAAGTGGTACAAGAAGCTTTTTTTCATCTAATGGACCTAGTTGTGCTAAATAGTTATAATATGTACCTAGTCAAAATGGGAGATTGCCATTTGAAATTCAAAGATTTTATTAGAAAGTGTATAAGGCAACTACTTGAAAAATATGGTACCTTAACTAATGTTAGGCCTAGTAGAACATTGAGTGGTAACATTGGTAGGCTGAGTGCTGTAAATTGTATGGAAAGACACTATCCTGACCATGTATCTTCAACAGAAACTAAAGAAAGGGTCAACACAGATGTTTTGTATGTTCTAATACTAGCAAGGGAGAAAAAAAAACAACTACCTACCTATGTAGCAACATGGTATCCAAAATGCAAGATTGGTCTATGTTTAGGTAGCTGCTTTAGAATTTATCAAACACGAAAACCCTTTTAGAAAACTTGGTTAGAATCTTATTATCAGTTTATAGAGTAATGAAATTTGTTATTTTAATAAACAATGTAAAAATGCTTAGATTGTAAATACATGTATTCATACGAATCGGCTATTTTTTTGTGGCCTGTGTAGGAGTGCAGCATCACGATGCCCATCCTTAAAGGGTTAATGTCACATAGAGTAATCAGTCAATAAAAATTATGATCAAATGGATTCATGGCACATACAAAAATAATCAGCTAGTGTTTCTAATAATTACTGTTTTTAATTATTCCAGTTATCCTATAATCAAAATTATTATTAAATCAATTAATGTCACAAAAATAATCAATTGACTGATTGTTTCTGATTGTTACTCTTTTAATGCTATTGTTTATTATTAAACACAAAGCTACATAATGGATAGTCTGTCTTCTGCTCACCTTCGGTTCTGAAACCCCAGATCTTGAGCGTTATGAATTTTTCATTTTTTAGCCCTCATGTGAAAATAATTTATTAGTTGAATGTAATTGATTAATTAGTCCAACAATTAATCAATTAGAAAATTCCACTAATCACCAGCTCTTCAAGAGACACAATAAAACTAAGTAAATTATTCAATGTACGATACTTATTTGATGCTCAATACTATCTTCAAAAGTAAAATAGGTGGCAATGATGCCATTTTTTTTGGGCAGCCCAGGTTACATCAAACAGAGCAAAAAATAAAATAAAATCTGAACTTAGCCTCAAATTCAATTCAGTAACATTTTCACCAGTATGGTTGTCTGTAAAATGCAAACATTTATTTTTTAAGAAACTCAAAATGTCCTGCTGCTTAAGGAAACTGACAGAAGAATTAAATCCGACCATCAAGATGGCTCTGAGAAGGAATCATATCATCAAGTGATATTTAAACTTTCAATGCTAGTTAACATTTTCCTTGACCAAAAAAGAAAAAAAAGTTTGTTGTAACGCTTTCACTTCGTGTATAGCACCTGTATTATGTAGTATTTATATTATATCTTCACATGATTAATCTTTTTGTGATGTGACTATATGAATCTAGGATGAATGTGTGTGATGACAGCTTCACAATAAAAAATGTAATCACTAAAAATCCAAAGCACTCTAGGAAATATAAACCCAGCTTTTATAATTATGCCCATGCCTTGTAATTTTACATAAAGCAAAGTTCTAACATTGACATTACTTTCTTAATGTTAACCTGTTAACTCTAAATACAAAGGACTAGTCCTAAAACAAAACATGAAAACAAAGAACTAACTACATTAGACTTCTCTAACATAGAGCAATTACTAATAAAAAACTTCCAAATAGTTTAGTTTATAGGGGAACCACAAGAATTCCCACTTCTGATTACAATGGTTAATAACAGTAAAAAAAAAAGGAACTTTTATATGAACCACATGGAAATAATGCATGCGATAACTCACATCATTTTATAAAGTACTTTTATTTGAAGCATTTCATTTAACAACTCATATTTCTACCTAAAAATACTCCCAAAGTCAACAGTCTATTAGACAGCCTACAAAAAATGTCATTACATATATTTTTCTTCCATTTATTTTCAGAATCCTCAACCAAAACACTATACACATTTATCAACCTTAGTAACATTATTTCTCCCTTAAACTTTATCTTACAAACAAAACTACTACTCCCTTTTATATATTCACAATCACCACAAGTTACCTCTAAGCCTTCTAAAATAACATACTTTTATTTAACTAAGACTCAGTAATACCAATGCCATTTAACATGCTAATTGCCAGCAAAGCTTCTGACAATCTGAGTCTATGTGCACAGGCATTTTTTGAAAACTTGTTCTATAGATCTAACTAGCTTACATGTTTAAAATTTCTTAACTTCTAGTAACAGAAAAAGAACTTAAAGCTCCAAAGTATATTTTTTGTATCAGGTTAATATATCTCTAAAATGCCATTAATGACATCATTAGATCTGATATATATGCATTTCAAATAGAATATTTTTCTTAGTTTCTCCTATTAAACTTTTTAATCTCTGGACAACACCATGAGCTTTAGAACTCATTATGTAAATTCTATTTCTTGTTTACTTGTATTCCCTACTACAAACTGTTTTGAATCTTTTCTTTCCCTATCTTCATCAACAACAAGCTCACTTGTTTGAAACAGTTACTTGTACTTGATTAGGTTAAATTACTTTAACCCTAGATATCTTTGATGACTACCTTTGTGAACACAATATCTTCTTTTTTTCTTGACCTCCCATAAGGTTTTTACTGGCTACTTTTAATCCCATAAATACAAAGTGTAGGTTCATTTCTTGTTTAGCTTATGACATCACAATAAATTCTGACTATGGTGATTGCTAGCTGTGATACTTTAGTTTGAGTGAGTGCAATTTAAAAGTATATCAGCAATATCTTTTGAAATATAATTATAATAAGATCCTTCTCTTTCTTTTGAAGCTTTATTAACATACTTTCCAAGCATCATAAAATTTAATAAACCATTACTATCGTATTCCTAAAATTTGGAAAAAAAGACAGGCAAAACTTGATCTTAGATACTTTTATTTTCCTAACAGGATGATTAACTTATGAAATTATTTGACATCTGTAATGGTCGATGCTAGCACGTTACAAGAGCTTATAAGTAGAACCAATTATTTCCTGAGGAATAAATGAGCGTCCAATTTGTTACCTTTTTTGTTTTTGGAAAAAAATCATGTGTGGGGACAACCCTGAAAGACTGTGTCGAGGGTGTTGAAACATTACAGGATGACTTGGATAAATTGTTACATTCGACAGATAGATTGGCAAATGACCTTTGTACTGAGTGAAAGGTAAAGCACTTGGATTATTATAATTTGGATTGCCTCAGGATTGTAGAGTTGCTATTGTTACTCCTAGTTTTAAAAATGATAACAGTTATAAAAGAAAATATGGGTATTAATCTTACTTTTGTAATGGGTAAAAATTTCTAGTCTAATTGTCTTATAGAACAAGACTTAACAGAACCATTAGGTGAAATATGATATCATAAAAAAGAGCCAACACAGATTCATTAAAGGGAAATCTTGCTTTACTTATCTGTTGACTTTTTTCCACATTACTTCTCTGTTTAATATAAATAGATTTTTTAAAAGATTTATGATAATATTTCACACAGAAGATTAACTAAGAAAAAAGACTAGTGCCAGTTAATTAGATTGCAGAGTGACTGGGTGAAAGAAAGCAAAAAAAATGCACATTAAATGAGTCCAATCAAATTGGCCCTTTGTTAGTAGTAATGTCACTGGTATACTTCTGGAATCAGTATTTCAAATATCAGTCTCTTAAGCCATTTTAACAGTGGTAGGGCAAATAGGATTTTAGGTTGTATTTACATTAATATTGAACATAAGACTAAAAAGGTTATAATTTCATTGTATATGCCACTGGTTTAGCCTCATTTGGAGTATTGAGTTCAGTCTTGGGCTCCTCACTTCAGGAAGGACATTGAATTGTTGGAAAGTGTTCAGAAGAGGACTACTAGAATGATACCTGGGATGAGGGGTTGTCATGCAAGGAAAGGTTATGACCTCTGAAATTGTTTTCTCTTGAATAAAGAAGAGCTAGAGGGCTTGGGATCCTTACTTTAGGAAGGGCATTGAATTGTTGGAATGAGTTTAGAAGAGGACTATTACATTGATATGCTACACTAGACAGAAATGTTGTAATATGAGGATGGGTTAATAACTATGAGACAGGTTTTTATTTAAAAATGAAGGGTTACAGGGTATTTGATTGAAGTGTTTAAGATTACAAGAAAACTGAAAATGTCAATGCATCATCTTTTTTTACACTTAATAGTAAGAATAGTTGGGCAAAGAGATTTTAGTTTTAGCAGGGTTGGAGTCATCTTCAGCTAAAGTTCTGTTTCTAAAAATGATATCTGTAAATGCAGGTATCTTGTTTCTTGTGTAACTAATATTATAACATTTAGGGGCAACAAACTTGCATTGCAAAAGGTCTGTTGCTACTGTTAGTTCATCATGGTAGCTCTATCCACTAAACTAGATATAAAAAAAACTAGAGCTATCTGCTATTATTTAATTTCAACTATTTATCAAAGTCCTTCCTTACACTTTAAATTAAAGTTAAACACCTATTTGCCTCCGATCAAGAAAGGTCTACCTTTCGAATGCACTCGGATTCTACTTATACTACAGTTATACTATTATCGGGTTTCTTATCCTTTGTCTTTCCTTAATTTTTTTAACCTATGGGTTTTCTTAACATTACAATTTACAATCATCTACTGTAGTACTAGTAGTAGTACTACTAGTAAAACTAAAAGTAGAAATATACATTATCAGTCAGTCTTACATTCTTAAGCTTCTGACTCTTAGCATCAAGGAAAACTAATTATTTAACTTGCTCACAGAAACATGTTCGTTGTCTTACCTTTTTTTGGTTCCATGGCTATTTAAGCGGGTCTTGACAAATTCTGTCGTAGTAATATTAACGTACGTCTCAATAGTTCAAAATTCACACAAGAACCCCATCTGCACTGATTAATAAGCGCCACATCACGGAAGATGACATGATTGTGAATTAAAATCAAATTTAAAATTAGATATTTAATTGTGTACTAGTTTAACGTTGAATATTATTTATGATTTTAACTTTATACACAAGTGCCAAAATACTATAATTATTAAATATTACGATTAAGTAGATTTAAGAAAAACAATACACATTTCTGCGTTTGTATTTTTTCTTAGCTTCCCTAGGTAATCACAACTCGTAGGTGGAACATTGTAACCATTTTCAGTAATATCCATACTTCATTATAGCTTCTCTATGCGACTGTTTTTGAAATAGCCATAATTATTAAAAACAAACAGGTATTCAAGAGATTAATTTTCATTACAAATTCTTCTTTATGTGAACTGGGCTTTCTCTCTCTCTCTTTTTTTTATATACTTTAATCAATGGTTTTTAATTGATATATATCATTTATAGGCTCTAGCTACTATTCTTAAGTCCTATAATCTTAATTTCGAGTGTCTGTTTGTTTGGAATTAAGCACAAAGCTACACAATGTGCTATCTGTGCTCTGCCCACCACGGGTATCGAAACCCTGTTTCTAGCGTTGTGACATACCGCTGTGCCACTAAATTATTAATATTTAATGTCAGCTAGAAGAAGTTACAAATCTTAATGAAGACATTGAGATAAGAAGGTTTAATAAGGCAAGTCTAGAACATCTACAAAATTCTAAGGGTGTGACGTAAAGAGTTCTAACGCATTAACAGTAAGATTATAAATACGAAATAGTTGTGAAGTGTGAAGATTGACTTCAAGAAAGAGAGTGAACGAGCCAGTGTGTTAGCTATCGCGGTTACTTTTTGTTGGTTAACTGATATATTTTACGTTAGTTAATGTAATTTGTAACGTATACCTACAGAACATTACGCCAGTGTACAACTGTCCAAGTTTATAGAAACGTGAATGAAGAAAATAAAGTTATTTATTATATTTACGTAGACTGGACGTTGAATTACTTTCCCCACATAAATTAAAAGAATCCACCAACGAATGAACAACACTACAACAGTGATGTCAAAAGTGTAGTATAATTTTTGGTGAAAATACAGTTAAATTTAACTAAACTTCAACTTTCCTGAGATAGGAAACCTGCTGTTACATATCTTCTTGTTTGTTAATTTCCAGTAGAAATTCTTTCTGAGAAATTTCAGCGATACAAGACCTTTTTTTATTAAACTAGTTTATTCTTTCTCGATACAAACTTTTAGTACACAGTAATTCCACAGTCAGTATGTTTCTCATCACTTTAAACTTAACAACTTTTATAATACACGCTATAAATCACAGTGATTCACAATCTCGATAACTTCGCTCTCTACGAGTGCAAAACACACATTAGCTCGAAACAGAATCGTAAATTACTCGAAACTTACTGTAACTACTGTTCGCTTTATCGTCCCCTGTCTTTTCCCTGCCAGGCTTATATACTAACGAAGAGGCATCTCCAAAATTTGCGGACTTCCCCAATAATTCGAGAAACTCAGTCATGCATGCGCCAGCAGCGTCACGTGACTTCCACTGTCGTAACACTGCCCCTTCATTAGTATTGTTTCGTCTCCGTTTGTTAATTAACTTTCCGTAACTTCGTTCCGACGAAACTTTAACGACACAAGTCTTTACTTAATAAAACTGGTTTATTCTTTCCGAATACAACTTTACGATACACTCAACTTCAACAATCGCGCAAAACAAACGCTATAACAACGAACGTGCTCAATAATACTTCTGACTGCAGATCAATTACTCACTGTCTACACACACATTACATTACATTATTCTGTCACGTTGTCACCCTCTTTTATATACCCGACTCCCTATATCTAGTAAATACTAGAGCATTCGCCAAGGTACAGGATAGTTCTAGAAACGTGGCATCACAGTAGTCATGTGACTAGCTGACGCAACAGTATTGTTCGTCGCGAACAATAGACCCTTACATTAAACCAATAGATAATTAACAATAATTTAATGAAATGTACAGAATTTACAAACACAAAATTAAAATTCAACAAAGTCTCTTAATTTTGCGGGACGTATCTTCTTTCGTACTGGTCTCCATCTCATTGGCTTCTGCTTCACATGGGATTCATCTGCTCCATCAGGAAATGGCCCATTAATGATAGCAGTCACATAGTGGTTGTAACTTCATTAACGGCTTCACTGTTTCTTCTTAAACCGG